AGTAATACCTGTCTGCAGGGAAGGTGAGTAAAACATGCTGACTCTTTCAGTTAAAGAAGGTTGATAAAGCAAAGATATACCAGGCAAATACAAGTAGAAAATGAAACCAGGGCTTGCAATATAGATCAAATAAAAATAGCCCACAGTACAAAGTGTTAAACAGAGCCAAATCTGTGAAGGGGGCAATTCATACACATCTTTTTTCATTAAAACCTATCATGTGAAAATACTGGAAATATAAGAAAACAGATAAACAGAATGAAATTGTTCCACTCTCAAGCCAGATTGGCAAAAAATCAAGTCTGGCACGAAGGTGAGGATATTGGTATATTGCTGGGAGAGTTTAATGGGTAGAAGTTTGGCAGGTCTTACAAAATTCACACTGTGCCTGTCCCACAAAGTCCTGCTACCAATTCCAAGAATATAGGTTAATCAAAGCCTATATGGAATCACTATTTGTAGCAGCTCCAAAATATGAAAGCATTATCTCACTTATATATGGAATGTTAAACACACACACACACACACACACACACACACAAGCTCATAGGAAAAAAGAAAAAGATCAGAGACGAAGGGTGGGAGGTAGGGGAATTGGAAGAATGGGGTCAAAATGTACAAAACACCATTTATACGATAAAAAAGTTCTGGGAATGTCGTGCACCATGACGACTATAGCAAACACTGCTGTGTGGTACATCTGAAAGTTGCTGAGAGAATAGATCCTAAAAGTTCTCATGACAACGGGGAGAAAACCCCTTTTTTTTTTTTTTGGATCGAGATGAAATGATGAATATTAACTGAACTTAATGTGGTGATTATTTCACAATTGCATAAGTCACTTCATTACACTGTGCACTTTAAACGTATGTGGTGCTGCATGTCAGTTATGTCTCAATAAAACCGAGAAGAAAAAAAAAGAGAAAAGGAAAACAATCTAAGTATTTAATAATAGGTGTATAGCTTAAATAATGTGTGCTGCATTCCTAGGATAGACTAGCACAGTGAGGAGAAACAAGCTATAGAAAAGTGCCTGGGTGGATCTCAGTAATGTCATGGTGAGTAAAAAAAGCAGGTTGCAGAAAATGTACTATGAATACTGTATGTATATATAAAAGTATAATTTAAATAACAATAATTTAAAACTAAATCAGTGTTTGCTGAAGTATACTCAATGCTGTCCATATCATTTATTAAACTTCTCCTCAAAAATATGGGAAAATATATTTCCTGCATATATATATCTGATATTAGTCTCTATCTCTAATGTATAAGTGGGCTTTAAGTCTAATAAGAAAAAGCCAAATCCCCCAAGAGAAAAATTAGCAGTCATGAATTCCTAATTCGCAGAAGAAAAACTCTCAAATCATCAGGAAAATTTAGTGATGTTTTTACTCAACAAATATATCCTGAGCGTCTTCTGTGTCCAAGTATGTTCCAGGCAAGGGAACACATGGGCAAACAAAACAAGCAAAAATCTCTGGCCTCATGGAGATGGCATTCCCATGAGGTGGCAGGGGGCGAAGATAAGCTAATAAGCTATCTACATAAATGGATGCAGAAGTTGTATGTTAGGAGATAGAAGGTTGTGTAGAGGACAATGGGAAAGGGGCTGTGGGGGGTGGGGGTGGGGAGGGAGGTGTCGCTGAGACCATGGGTCTGAAGGGGACGCGGCCACCGTTTGAGAGTAGTTTGGAAGCAAGGTCAGAGGATAATGAAATGGGCACAGAAGGACTTTGGCCTTTACGGGAAGTGAGGTGAGATAGGAAGTAGTTGAAAAATGGGAAGTTTGAATACAATGAAATCTGATTTAAGTCTTAACAGAATAACTCTGACTGCTTTGCTGAAAATGGACTCTCCAGAGTGTAAGCAAGACATACTCATGCTTAAACTCTATGGAATTTGGTTACACAGATCAGAGGACTTGAAAGGTGCACACCCCCTCATTCAGCAATGACACTCTAGGAAAATTATCAGATATCTAAAAAATAAACATACAGCCATACGTACATGTTTGCAGAAGTACTAGTAAATAATTGCAAGATGAAGAATATAATCTAAGTGTCCAACAATAAGGACTCATTTAAATAAATAATAAATGGATTATCATGAAATGATTTTTCAGGATGTTACAGAATAACACTTACTGATATGAAGTTAGCCAAATATAACATTAAAGGATAAATCTCATAAGATAGCATATGTTGTTTAAATAAATATATGCAAATAAAATTTTGATATAAATACAGATTTTCATGTGTATGTTTGTAGATGTGTATAGAAGGGAAAAGCCATATAATGTGCCAAATCACGAAGGAAGTGAGATTAGAATGATTTTTTTCTTTAAGATTTTTTTTTCTGCATCGTCTTAACTTTTTTAACTTTTACAATGAGGGATAAGGATTTTAAAAATTAAACTGTTTCAACTTTGAAGTAAAACAATCCGTATGCATCATTTTTACTTGCCCTGTTAACATATCTGCTCTTCTGATGAGCGCAAAGTGATTTTTGTAACAGGATGTTAAAATGGAAATCCAGCCAAAGTGTTAAGTGGATCAAGACCAGATGTGAAAGTGCTATTCTAGACGGACATACAAACTGTCACACTAGCTGCTGTCAGCTCCCACTGAGGGCATTAAAGGGTAAGATGTTGGCCTGAAGACTGATTTTGTAGCTGTTAGGATGTCAGGAGTCATTGCCCCCATCAGCCCCAGTGGGAAGAATGAGTGGAGATGCCCCTCATCTCAAGCCCCGGGACAAAGATTTCAAGGGCTTTCTGAGAGTGCTTGACAGGAGTCACCTACTCCTGGGGACACAGTGGATCATGAACTCCAGGCCTTGGAATGACAAGGGGCAAGAGACAGGCTATCTAGTTATGGGTGGAGAAATTAAAGGGAAGTGGCTATGTTCCGTGGTCTTCTTTCAGGGCAAAGAGTGCATGAGTGTTTCTCTCGTGTGTAATTTAAGCCACATGTGATAGAGAGTCCAGTCCTAGGGAACAGCCTGGACAGGCAACCACACTGCAGAGAGGCCAGAGGTATAGTCAGCCCCTACAAGGGCCCTGTAGGTGGGAGATTCCCAGCAATGGTGGAGTGGGGTTCCTCCAAAGCATCACACAAAGTGACATGGGAAACATAATCAGCTTTAAAACTCTGCCACAACCAGAGAATGGCAACACTAGCTCACCACACGTATCAGTCAAGCCAGAATGGCAGCACCCCCTATCCTCTCCTTCCTCCGTATGCTCCAACCCCAGAAGGTTAGAAGCCTTGGTCAGCAGTACTTGCTGGGGACACAGAAGAGCAAGGTGGACAAAGAAGACAGTCATGCTTCTCTCACCCACAGAAGCTGGGGAAAAGAGGAAGACGTTAAGACTTTAAACCAGGGGGCTCCTGGGTGGCTCAGTCGTTAAGCGTCTGCCCTCGGCTCAGGTCATGATCCCAGGGTCCTGGGATCGAGCCCCGCATCAGGCTCCCTGCTTGGCGGGAAGCCTGCTTCTCCCTCTCCCACTCCCCTGCTTGTGTTCCCTCTCTCACTGTGTCTCTCTCTGTCAAATAAATAAAATAAAATCTTTAAAAAATAATAAAAATAAATAAATAAACCAGGCTTGAATTTTTGACTATTCCTTGAATGGACATTCCATAAGTTGGGTCTCTTTGAATTACCTGAGTGACAAGCAAGACTGTGGATGCTGCTTGAGTTTTTATTCAGGGGCTGGGGAAGGATTCGCTCACACAATAAACTTGAAACAATTAAAAAGAGAGTTTCGTGACAATATGTATTTTATTTGACCAATTTTGAGAATTAGCAATTTTAAAAATTACTACTATTGGTGGAATAATAAAACTCCCATGATAGAATGTAGAAAGATGTGTTCTCAGATCGTCTCCTGGGTTCTTAATGTCTGTAGTAATGTTAGCATCGGTCCACGCTTGGCTTTCTCCTTGGCCTTGGCCTTCATAAAGGGAACTTTAGAGGATGGAAATTGAATGCACAGCATCAGTGTTTACAGAGATCTCAGATTTTCTGTGTAAGATAATTCCTTAGTGATATCAGCTGGACTTGATGATCAGAAACGGAGGGTGGCATGGCTTAGTGCAATGGTGGTGATTATAAGGACACCCCCAGAACTGACCTTACAAAAAGTAATCTGACAGTCCTCATCCAGCAGATTCATTCAGCATCTGAAATATATAGTTTATCTTGAATTTCGTGAGACTCAAATATCATATATTATGGAAAAATAACAAAAAGTGTCCTGGAAATCAGGACAATACTGGAGGGCTCTGAATGTCCTGATATTATCCTAAGAGTTGCTAATAATCCTGAAATAACTAAAGAAATGTGATTTTTCAATGGCAGTGCTGCTCTAGCCCTCTTCTCTCCCTCTGGCACCCATCCCATAAATCTACTGCCCAAGGGAGCTTTCCCTGGCAGCAAGGATACTGAGTCCTCAGAAAAATGGTATTAAAAGGTAGTCATATTGTAGTTAGGGAAGATATTATAGTTTCCTCTCTCCCAGTGGCAAAATAATTGATGATGGTGAAATGTAGCAAAGGAGATGCCAAGAAGGCTTCAGTTTAGGTTAAGAGAGTCTTTCAGTTGACAGAAGAATATGGATATAATTGAATGTGCCAGTGATTCACTCTTCATGCAATTCCTTTTAACCCAATGGTGTTACTTGTATATCTAGATGTTTAAGTTCATTTGATGTATTATTTAGAAGGCTTTATTTTCCCCCTTATTTAATAAAAATAAAGAAACAGTTACCAACTTTCTAAATGTATCTATTTTCTTATAATATCACTATGTTTGAATTTCAGTAAAAATGTTACCAATTATTTATATTTGTCAAAAAATATAAAGATAGAAAATTATGACTGGAAAAAAAGTGACAAAGACCAAGATGTTTTGATTTATAATGCTGTATTTTTATTTTTAGTGAGTGCCTCCAGTTAATAAGCAGGCAAGAAATGATTGATTTTTTTTTTTCCTTTCAGCGGTTTACCTCTGCAAGAGAACAATGCAAAACAAGGCAAGGCTAGAATTGGCAGACTATGAAGCTGTAAGTACTAAGGACTTTCTGGCAAAGAAAGTCATAAAATGAACAGGAATAAGGCCTATGGTCATTTCTGGAGATTCTGTTGACTTTACACCCCTGGATTTTAAGGACCAGATTTCTAGGATCAGGCATCATAAATGGCTCAAATCCCTGACTTGCTTGCTTTGTCTCCTCATTCACATTGGGGATGGTGAACTTCTAGATGCAAACTCACAGGAGAAGGGAGAAGCCTGTCTTGCTAAACTTGACTTAAGTGTAAAAACATTAAATGTGTCCTATATATAGTGAAGACATCCAAACTTAGAGAAATAAAGAGCATTTACTTTGAGTAAATAGTTTTTGCAAGACAGATAAAATTAATCTGATGTCATTTGTTCAGACAATTGCTGTGTTGTGATTTACAAATGACTTTGAAGCACTGACTAGAAACGGTAGTAAGATGCTGGGGGTTTACATTCTTGTCAGGAACGGGATAGACTGACTGAATCATTAGTAGAGATGTATTGCTTTCCTATTCCTCACTAAAACGGACACAGAAAAATCCAATGGATTAGTCTTGAGCTCTTTGTTTTATACAAAGTAATTTTTAGTATTTTAGATGTTTACTTGTGGTCTCTAAAGTCAATTATTCATAAGATTAATATTTGTAATAAGTTTCCCTGTTTACTCTGACTATTAATATGAAGATGAGCTACATTGAGTGAGCATGACTTTTATCATTCAGAACCAGAGTACACACTACTTTAGAAATTCTATAATTGCTTTCTTGATAAATTTATACAGTAGATAAATGAGAAATGAGTAGTAAAGATGAGCACCAGAACGTCTTTACCTGTGGTATGTTTTTCAGGAGAGCCTGGCCAGGCTGCAGAGAGCATTTGCTCGGAAGTGGGAGTTCATTTTTATGCAAGCAGAAGCACAAGCAAAGTGAGTCCTTGTGAGTCTTTTGGAAAATTTGTTCAAGTTGTGGCCTTTTGTCCAGAGAGGTGCTACAATTAACATTACTTATTATTCATTGTTACGATGTTGACAGAGTGGACAAGAAGAGAGACAAAATTGAAAGGAAGATCCTTGATAGCCAAGAGAGAGCATTCTGGGATGTCCACAGACCTGTGGTAAGCAAACGTGCAAATGTTATCTCCAGTTCATAATCTGAGCCTTTGGAAACTGAAGGATGCCTGAAAAAGTGAAGGAACAATGTGGTAGCCCTATCACTCTTCCCCAAATCTTGGTTAAGAAAATACTGCCACTTTGTGTAAGATAACCAGAATTCAGTAGTGTAATGTGTAATTTATAAAGCTATGCATTTTTCCACCCCAACGTCACTCTTGGCATTTGAGATACTAGATACTTTTATACCCTTGAAAGAAACAAGACTGCAACAAAGCAGTCTTACGTAAACCATGTGACTCAGAGTAACAAATAATGAATGTCCTTGATTAATACCAGAAAGCTTTGTGTAAGGAATTCGACACTGGTTATGCGCATCATAAGAAAACAGGTCTAATCTCACATGTTTCTTTCTATTTTGATAGTATGTGTTTGTCTTCTATGTATTTCTTTAAATACAGACAGGGCATTAGAGAATAATATTTACATAAATGTAGAATAAATACCAGGTTCCCAGCACGAGACAAATCAAGACCGATGAGAATATTTTTTTTAATTTTTTTTAAAAGATTTTATTTATTTGACAGAGAGAGAGAGTGAGAGAGGGAACACAAGCAGAAGGAGTGGGAGGGGGAGAAGCAGGCTTCCCGCGGAGCAGAGAGCCCGACACGGGGCTCGATCCCAGGCCCCTGGGATCATGACCTGAGCCGAAGGCAGACGCTTAACGACTGAGCCACCCAGGTGCCCCAAGACTGATGAGAATATTTTAAAAACTTTCCTGTCACCTACCTTCAGGATCAGACAAAAATAGGTCTGCTTTCCAAAGATTTCTTTATATTTGTGTGTGTTTCAACTTCAAATAGCCATACAGTTGTTAAATTCTACATTGAATTTTGCTCTCTTTGAATTCCCAAAAGATTAGAATGAGAATTAAATGGCTACCCTGCTCAATATTCAGCTCAAGTTTTGTTGCTCGTGGTGAAAAAGGATTATGAGTCCATGTGCATAACTGTTGCAAGAATATGAAGTAGGATTTTTTCTTATTTGCTTATTTTAAGCAATCGCTAGAAACCTGTCAATACATTATGTTCCTGTGTTACCCACTTTATGCCTCTGGACATCTGGTGGCCCATCTCTAGCTTTGTTCAGCTTCAACGGCCTGCATCCTCCTGGCAACCTAAGAGGACTAGCTCCATGACTTCCCTGCACTGCCTACATTCATTCCACGGCTAATACGCAAGCTCACAGAGCATGTAAATCGATCCCATTTCAGTACTCCTCTGCTCCATCCCCTGTGAGTTACTCAGCTGGTCCCTGGCCCTCTGTGTGCCCCTATTGGAGGTAGAACCTGTTCAGTTGTTTTGGCTCTTTCCAGTCCTCTGTGTCTCCCTGCACCAAGGAGCACATATGAGTGCTCTCCAGGGGGGTCCCCTGCTGCACCCCTCACTAGGCTTCCAATCAGAAAATCATCCTAAAGGAGCACCCTGAGGGAGAAACCACCCTGAAGCCAAGGCCTCCATCTCCCTTATTCAACTTCTAGGTGCTGATGACAGCAGGTGCAGATGTTGAGGGAGCTAATCTGTGGGATCTCTTAGTATCAGTCTTTTACTTCTGAGCTCTTTGTTTCCTCTACACTTTCCATTTTATTGAGGTTGTTCTTCGGCAACTTGGAATCTGTGTCCTAGGTTTAGGCAATAGGAGAACTACAACAGCATGGCCTTCCTTAATGCTTACCAGCTAGCTTACCTGGGATGAAATGATTGTGTTGACTTTCCTCTTTGAAGGGATTATTCTCTAGTCACCTCTGAAACTTTTTGAATTCTCTGAGGAATTAGCCTTTCTCCCCAAATTTTTATTTATTTATTTACTTTTTCCTTAAAGATTTTATTTATTTGAGAGAGAGAATGAGAGAGAGAGCACATGAGAGGGGGGAGGGTCAGGGGGAGAAGCAGACTCCCTGCTGAGCAGGGAGCCCGATGCGGGACTCCATCCCGGGACTCCAGGCTCATGACCTGAGCTGAAGGCAGTCGCTTAACCAACTGAGCCACCCAGGCGCCCTCTCCCCAAATTTTTAATGTATCAGTCCTGTAAACATCTGCCAGTGCAATGACTAACCACTGTTTCTATCAAAAGCCATATCTGAACCTCCTAAAACACAGCATGCCTGTGCAACATCATGTAAAAATACCATTTATCTTGTATTACTATGTGCCAGACATTTTACTGCATGAAATGTTGATTAGAACATAGTCCTTGATTCCTAAAACTCACATTTAGTGGAAGCATTTTACGAACATGGTCACAAACACTTTAAGGCAGATGTGACTGCACATTTGTTTTCTGGGGGAAAATACAGATGGTCATTGGATTTACATGACTTGCCCATGTACACACAGCTAGGAGCAGCAGAGCCAAGCCTGAACCAACTATCTCCTACTCCATAGTCTGAGTCACAAAGGAAGGGGAGCAATGGGGAAGTAGAGGGGCTCCAGCTAAAGAAAGCAGCTGCAGCAAGAGAGATACCCTCACCGCATGCCTCCATTCTGCAAAAAGCAGGGATAAAGCGTTTGTCGTACTGCATGTGTGATATAGGTGTGATTTGGGTATATTTTACTTGTATATTTTACTCATGGTTCTTGAATATTCTTTTTTCGTTCATTCTGCTGTTTTCAAGAGCCCAGAATTCAAGCCATCTTTCAAACATTGTAGGCCACACATCCCTGAACTAGGGGAACCCCACTGCCATGTGGAGAACAGTGTGGTCAGGTGTGGTTATACAATATGAGCCCTTAGGGACCGGTTCCAGTAGTGTTGCTGCAACAAGTACTATCTCCTATATTCAGATAGAATAATCTTGTGTAATCTATATACTATTTCAAGAACAATCTAAAATTCTTATAAAGTTATAAATAAATCTAGTTGATATAAATTATTAGTACACGAAAGAGATCACAAAGAATGAACTTATTTTTATTTTGGTTTTGAAAAGACTAATTATAAAAATATGAACTGACGCTATAAGTCTTAAAATCTGGAGATTGATATTCCCATTAGAATAAAAAAAACCCTCTATTCAAATTTCACAGATTTATAACACAATTTAATTGAAAGGCTTTTAAATTGCAAAATTATATTTTCCCGAATTGTTTTAGCTTCATCAGTCATATAAAGTATCTTTGTTTTCAAAAACCAGCAATGGAGTTATTTTAATAGTAATATTTGTTGACTTTTTTCATTTTACTTCTTGTACAGTCCTATTTCATAATAACATTTCAATAACATTTCAATAAAAAAATATAACAGGGAACAGTTAATCCTCATGAAGCTTTTATTCATGGTGATCTGCTACATTGTGTTGTTTGGTTTGCTTTGATTTCATCTGGTTTTACTCTGGCATTTATTTAATCAAAAATAGGGTGGAAGCCATTAGCTAGAAATGTGGTAGGGAAAGGCAAATCTCAGAAAGCAGCTCAGTCTTTAAAGTATACTTTTAAAATTAATTTAAAATATCATAGTATATTACATGAATTTCCACTTGAAGATATAGAAAATATATGTAATATGATTTTACTTTTTAAAAAACCATGAGGTCACTTAATACAGAGTGTAATCAATCTATTGCACTTAATATTATTATGAAATAAATCTAGTTTCTCTGAGCATGCCCATGTTTACTCCACAAAAAATAAATAAATAAATGAAGTCATTAACACCAAGAAGGACTCTTCAATTGTCAGGGATTCCAGATAGAATTGTCAAAAACTAACTACTCAAGAAGATAGTGGGCGAAATACACCAAATTGTAGTAAATGTCAAAGGTAATTTGGAATTTGTGTTAATCTGTGTATTTAATGTTTCAGTATTTTTATGAAGCCCCTCAAGGGCTAATGCATTCATAGTCTGTATTAATAGAATTTTAGGAACTAGTTTAATTGAAGTAAAAATTATGCTTGTCACAGTGCTAAGGAACTCAATTTTAGAGTTTTGTGCTCAGTTCTAGAAACCATACTTTAAAAAAAAAAAGTGTGGTTGAATTATAGTTGAGGTGAATAGTAAAGGGGCAAAGTCAAAAATAATAAGTAAAGAAACTGTGAAATTATTAGAGATTAGTGGCATTAAGGATAAGAGGACCCCAAAAAAGTTGTCTTCATATTTTGGAAATTTAATTAGGTAGAGTTGGAATGAGGCTTATTCTTTTACCCCATGTTGGATTCTGGGTGACGAATGTGGAAACAACTGGAAAATAAAATCACAATATAAAAAAGAACTTATCAAACTCAACACCCAAAAAATAAAAAATCCAGTTAAGAAATGAGCAGAGGACAATAATAGACATTTCTCCAAAGAAGACGTACAAATGGCTAACAGACACATGAAAAAGTGTTCAACATCACTCAGCATCAGGGAAATACAAGTCAAAAACACATGAGATACCACCTCACACCAGTCAGAGTGGCTAAAATGAACAACTCAGGAAACAACAGATGTTGGTGAGGAGGCAGAGAAAGGAGAACCCTCTTACACTGTTGGTAAGAATGCAAACTGGTACAGCCACTCTGGAAAACAGTATGGAGGTTCCTCAAAAAGTTAAAAATAGAGCTATCCTGTGACCCAACAATTGCACTACTAGGTATTTATCCATACATAATAGTGATTCAAAGGGGAAGATTTAAGATGGCGGTGTAAAGGGACCCTAAGTGCTTCTTGTCCCTTGAATACAACTAGATAGTTATCAAATCATTCTGAACACCTGAGAAATCAATCGAAGATCTGAGAAAATGAATGCTGCAAGTCTACAATTAGAAAAGGGACCACCGTTTGGAAGGTAGGAGGTGCAGAGACTTGAATCCAGGATGATATAGCTAAGGATATGGCAGTGCGGAGGGATCCTGGTTAAGGAGGCTACTGCAAGTATTATAAGCAGAGGAGTGCAAAATTGGAGCTTATAGAACTCTACCAAAGTGCTGTATGTCCCTGGCTTAAATGTGCTCAGGTGAAGCAGGGT